CGCATCGACAGGCGCCGGTAACCCCAATTAACAAAACAATCTGAAATATTTTTATAATTTAGTAGAGTATACTACATGCTTTACAATATAATTTGTTTACCTTTAATCCTAAATACAACTTCAAACAAAAATTTATCAAACTCGTCTTTAGTAAAAAACTTTAGACTTCTTTGCAGTATATCCTTCGCTTGTTTTTTTTCAGAAAGGCACGTAACTTTAAAAATTTGCTTATATCCACATTTTTTCTAATAACTAACTCGGATTTTATCATAGAGTATCGTGACCACATTGTAGAAGATTTCCATTTATTTTCATTTTCCATTATATTAAAATATGCCAGTAAAACGTCTTCGGTAACTTGCCGTACTCCTCTTGTATCGCACCACTCTTGGAAGTGCTTGTAGGATAACCGATACTTTATTCCGGACTTGGAGGGCCCCAAACGTGCTACTGCATCATTAGCCGCGGACTCAATTTCGTTTAGGTGTTCCATTTTCGCACTAAATTTGCGCTTGTGGTTGCAACAATAATAAGCTGTCTTTAATAATTGCAAACAACTGTCAAACAACTGTAACCAGGGAGACGCAAATCCCACTGACGACTTAATTATTTTAATTTCTAACATCTAGACGACTTTGATAGTTGTCACAGTTAATTTCGAGTAAAAATAGCGTATGAATTGTACTATTTATGGTTAAAAATTGGTACGTTTGAAGAAAAAATAGTATACTTTATTCGGCAAAGAAGCAACTTTTCTTGACTTGCCCTCTATTACGCGCCTCACTTAGTTCGGCGCGTAATATCGGGCGTGTCAAGAAAAGTCATGCTTCTCCGCCTCATAAAGTAATATACCATAATTCTTAAGGCACTAGTAAACAGCACATCTCAAAATATTGAACAGAATTTTATTTAGGTATTGAAAACAACTGATTATAAAAATAAATCTGTAAGAAACATAACAATATTTTAGGAACAGTAAACTTTAAACAGGGACTTAACACAGTCACAAACTAAAATTCTAAATATGAATCAACCACATAATTAATGTAAGAAGATATAATACTAATGTAATTACTCAAACAGTAGAAGAGAACAAAGGTTTAAAGGTAATGAAAAGAAAACTTACGCAAAGTAAAAAAGAAATATACAAGCTGAGAGATAAAGACGGAAAGGCAACAACAGATAAACAAAACATTCTGAAAATAACTAGAGAATTTTATAAAGACCTCTATACCAGCCAAAGACCACAAGACAATTCCCCGACACGAGTAAAGACTCTCATAAATCAGGGATCGGAAATACTTTTACCCATTACTGTGTCAGAAGTAAGAGCAGCTTTAAAGGAAATGAAGAACCATCGATCGCCTGGTGATGATGGACTCGTTATCGAGGCAATAAAAGCAGGTGGAGAAATTTTATTAAAATCAGTAAGCGAACTGTTTACTAAATGCTTACATGCGGGTACAATTCCAAAAGACTGGAACAATGCAGTAATAGTCTTGTTACACAAAAAAGGCGATATTACTAAATTAGAAAATTATAGACCCATCAGCCTCTTGACACATATGTACAAACTCTTTATGAAAATCTTAACAAAGAGGCTAACACCTAAACTTGATTTCTATCAGCCCAAAGAACAGGCAGGCTTCAGGGCAGGATATGGCACAAATGACCATTTGCATACCATAAAGATCTTAATAGAAAAGTGCATCGAGTACAACATACCACTGGTTCTTGCATTTGTCGATTACGAGAAGGCTTTTGATTCTGTAGAGTTTGAAACAATACTGGAAGCCCTAAATCAAAGCCGAATAGATTACAGGTACACGACACTAATCAAAAACATCTATCAGAACGCTACATCAAGTATACGACTGCACGAAGACACAGAAAAATTCAGCTTAGGACGAGGAGTTAGACAAGGAGACAATATTTCACCAAAATTGTTCACGGCAGCTCTAGAGTCAATATTTAAGGGTACTCAATGGCAAGATATGGGCATCAATATAGATGGAGAAAGATTAAATCACCTAAGGTTTGCAGATGATGTTGTATTATTCGCAGATAACATACATGATACAGTTACTATGATGCATTCGCTTAAAAGTCTGTCTGAAAGAGCAGGATTAAAGATAAACTTTGAGAAAACTAAAATTATAACAAATCTCGTAATGAGTGGAAATATAACTATTGACAATAATACCATACAACAAACAGACACTTACAAATATCTGGGACACGAAATCAAAATAAGCAGAGACAATCAAACACATGAAATACAGAGGCGAATAGGTCTAACATGGGCAGCATTTGGCAAATTAAGCCATATTCTAAAAAGTTCAATTCCCATGTGTCTCAAGCGAAAGGTTTATAACCAATGTGTTTTACCTGTACAAACTTATGGAGCAGAGACTTTAACACTCACGCAAAAATCTGCGAATAAACTTAGAGTTACACAACTAGCCATGGAACGTGCAATGCTGAACGTGAGCCTTCGAGACCACATAACAAACCAACAAATCAGACGAAGATCAGGAGTTCAAGACGTCATCGAAAGAACCACGACGCTTAAGTGGAACTGGGCAGGGCACTTAGCCAGAACACAAGATGGACGGTGGACAAGACGTATTATGGAATGGAGGCCCAGAAATTATAAAAGAAGCCGAGGACGACCACCGACTAGATGGACCGATGACATTAAACGTGTAGCGGGAAACTGGCTACAAGCGGCCCAGTGTAGAGAACACTGGAAAGAATTGAGGGAGGCCTATGTCCAGCAGTGGACGCGATTGGCTGATTGATGATGATGATGATGATGACATAATTAATAAGGTAATTTGTCATAAAAATCCCAATATTGTTTATTAAGAACAACTTTCAAGCTTTGAAGGTGGTCATATTTGTTTTTTTATTTTTGGCTGTGATGTGTATAATATAGGAATAACACTTTTTTGTTTTTGGAGGTCGATCTTTTTGACAATGATTCATAATTATCTGTATGGTGAATTTTGTAGAATATTTGGAAAAAGTACTAAGAGTACTGAATGAATGAATATAAATAAAATACTTTTATTTATATTCATTCATTTAGTACTTTAAAGTACTAAAATACTACTGAATGAATAAAATTGAATTTCTTTAAAGTCTTTAAAGGCAGAAAAGTTCATGTATTTAACATTTTAAGGCTGTGGTCTTCTTGCTTCTTTACAAACAGCAATGTAATCAAAAGGTACATAAATATCACGATTTTTGAGCCGTCTTTCAATTGTGCTATGGACCGAATCGACTTCCATCTGGGTATAACCATTGTGGAGATAATTCTGAGTAATATGAACGTTGTTTTCCATACACAATTGAAGAGAATGAGAAAGTATTAAATTTTTAAAATCCGTAAACTAATTTTCGAATTTGCGTCCATTCGAAGCCATATTAGAGTTGCTTCCTAGAGAGATTTATTTTCACGTTCAGAGTGACTATGAATTGCCGTTCTGATGAAAAATTAGAAAACTTTTAGAAAACCATAACTATATTACGGAGAATATAAAAATAACAAATAAATAGTGTAGGAACCCAAACCCCACCGAAAATGATATTTTGCAAGAAAATAATACACGAAATAGGCAAAGCCAATTAAATGACAGTCCAAAAAAGCATATATAGCGCTAACTAAAAGAACTAGAGAACTATAAGGCACAAGCAGAAACACAAAAGTTCTACAAGAGGATTAACCAGAACAGGAAAGAATTCAAACCTAGATTATAAATCTTTAGAAATAGAACAGGGGAGATCATTGGTGATCAGGACCAGATACTAGAAAGATGGGCAGAAAACTTAGAAGAAATGCTAAATATAACAGGTGAGACAGGGCACCACGAATCAGAAATCCAACTCGAGGACATTGACGATGAAAGAGAGAAAGATAACACCCCAACAGATGTAAAAGTCATCCAAGCTATACAGAAATTGAAAGAAAACAAAGGAGTAGATGGCATTCCTTCAGAACTTTTAAAGCATGGCAAAAAACCTGACATACTGTATATGTAGACTGGTAAAACAGATCTGGAGCAAATAAAGTTTCCAGAAGACTGGAATGTAGGTATAATTGTACCTATTAACAAGAAAGAAGATCAAACAATATGTGACAACTACAGATTTATAACTCTCCTAAACGTAACATACAAAATATTGACATATTGTTTACGTTGAGACTTATCCTTTAGCAGGCCAAGACCCACCATGGGCTGTGGAGCTAATGATGATGATGATGAAATAAAATGAATATTACAGTTTTATGGCTCATTTGCTGAAATTTCCAAAACATAGATTATTCTATGAGCCACAGTTGCATTTATGCTTCATTAAGAAATATATTGTTTGGTCTTTAACGAAAGTTAAATTTTGTAAAAATAACCGACTTACAAATTTAAATTTTATATTAGTTGATTAAGTATATAATTTTTAACAATAATTTAGCATATTTTTAAAGCAAGTTGAAACATTAATTTTCTGTAATAAATGTTGCCTACATAAATGTTAACATTTTGACACAACTTTTGACACGTACATTGGTCAGATTGGTTCTTCTTACACTGTTGTCAGGTTCTAAAAAAATATTTAAATTTGAGATTTACAACCTCAATTTTAAATTGCTTGTCAAAACATCAACAGCTTTAACTATTTTAAATACAAAGTTAGTAGGGTCTATAATTTTTAATTACCTTTGCTTTTAAAACAAATTATTAAAATTTGCAACTTTCATTACTATTTAAGGATTATTATTCTGTGATATAAGTATAAGTAGAAGTTAGTTATTTGTCTGCTTATACTTCATAAAATTAAGAAACATTAAAAGTATTTTATTTATATACAGCTGAAACTAAGAACGGTTTTATCTATATATTATTAACGTGACAATAAAAATTTTAAAGCTTTTAGAAAACTAATATTCAAGTTTTGTGAATAAGCGGCAACGCCACTTGCATGTTATCTAGGCTCCTCCTATCCAAAGGAAGGTCAGCTGGAGCTGGGAAATTTTTATGAATTTTATGTCAGTTTTTGTGAAGATTTGCAAATTAAAATTTTCTCTAAGAGTAATGTCAAAATCTCATCTATCGTCCTTAAGAAAAGTGTATCTAGTAATTAGTTGTTAAATATAGTGAACATGTTCCGCGAAAGAACCTTATTTCCCCAAGAACCTTGTCTCCTCTGATAAGGATAAGATTCTTATCAAGTTCTAGTTGACAGCTGAGCAATATGTTAATAAATATAAAGCAGTTTTACTCGCGAATTTTTCGTTAAAATTAAAATGTTTTACTTTGAGAATTTTTTTGTAAGTTTTCTACTCAGTGTTGTGATCCTGACAACCCAAACATGCTTATCCAAAGAACAAAAACATATGAGTTCCAAAGAAAGAATACAATTAAGGTAAGTGTTCTTATTTTTTAATATATATGGTATTTGTAATTATATACCACTTATCCAAACCAAAACTAATTATTAACATGAAAAGACAAGACATATAAGCAGATAAAAGTTCATTGAATTATACATATTATTTCAATACATAAACATGAATGAAAACAGTGATTTTACAATAACCAGAAATTGTATAGTTATTTTGTTTGCTGTAAAGCAAATTCCTAAATAAGCACTGAATGGAATACAGAAGAAATCCATTCAGAAAAACTATGATATAGATATCCTGAAAAATGTTTCGGATGTTAAAAAAACCTTTCTTGAACTATTAAATAGTGTAAGGGATTAAATTGAAAACTGAGCTAAACCTAATTATTGAGACACGATCTATAAGCTTTTTATGATATTCACACTATACTTTTTGGAAGAAATGTTTAGATGTAAGTAGTTTAACCACCTTAATGAGTTTTAATAGGCATTGTGTCACAATCTGGTATCGTAAGGATGGCAATGAGTATTTGAACAAATAAATTAAATTATAGAAAAGCGAAAAGGATATTGACTATATTAGGTAAGATTAAAATTCGAGAAGCAAATGATACTAAAATCTACAAGAACATGAGTATATAATAGTATAGTTATATAGTAGTAAGTTGTGCTCATAATGTGGGAAACATATATAGAGATTAAATATGCAGGATACATTTTTTAATAAATGTTACGCAATAAGTAACATATCTTACCAAATCACTAGTAGAACTCAGTATTCAAGCAATGAATGTAGACACCCATATAGACTGGCTGGTCTATATTTGTTAAATGAAGTGATGAGTGACCAAATACTGGATATATAACTAAGATAGCTTGGAGATATATCTAGCATACACATTAAAAAATATATCATATAAAAGATACAAAAGAAAAATACAAAAATTTGATGTAGAATAATCTCAGGAATATTTAAAATGTAAGAATCTGGAATTCTTTGGCAACATCTGTCTCATAAGCAAAAGCATAAGTGATAATTGTTGACAGTCTAAGACAATCTAAAATGTTGCCATAGGAATTGGATAAAGAGGCACAAGATTGAAACATATGGAAAATTGAGGGATATCTATGTCCAGCAGTGTACAAGCGAAGATTTAATGATGAACTTGATAATGTCTATATAGAAGTGGGACTGCAAATAAATGGAACAAATACAAAGCTAGTGGCCTATCAATTGAGAAAGAAATTAGAGATTTGGAGAATGATCAAAGCATATCTGATTGATATTATGCCAAGTGTAGTTGGGTGATATTGTGTGTCTTGGTAAGATCTCCATCTATATATGTGTCTTAAAGGGAGTTTAAACCACATGTTAGAGATTAACATTTTTTCCTTCTGGCAAAATTGGATTTGGGTATAACTTTTTTCTCTTCTTACTCCTATTCCATGTTCCACAGCAATTTCATCACATCTTCCCTTACCTACTTTTACTTTGATGTCCCTTGAAGGTTAATGTCCTTTTATGTTCCTGTTTTGGGACAGCAATTGTTTTATTTCGGCATAGAAGCATTTAATAACTGATCTGGTTTATCAGCTCTTAGGGGATATACTTAAACAATATTTAGATTCTTCAGTGCTGCTTTGATTTGTATCATTATTGTCCTATCAAAAAGTGGTACGAAATTGAGGACCAAGTGAGCTGTTGTAGGATATAGCATAATACTGATACCATTATAATGGCTGGGATCATCTTTTTCAGAGTGGCAAAAAGTATAATTGTTTTCTGCCACTTTTCTGCTGTTTGGCTATCGGGTTTCTGTTATATCCAAGATATTTATCTATAGCCATACCCAAGATAATGTGTATTTTTTCCAGCATGTATATGCTTTTAACATTTGATGTACCAATTTTCATTGGCTTTCCACAGTTAGCCTTTGTTACTTTTGTTTTTTTTCCTCTATATTCTTAGCACCCCCTGATCATTTAAGATCTGCCACAGTTTAGGGGCTTTGTCTGTCATTGCTTCTGCTATAATTGAGGTAGTTGCTAGAAGAAGAATCTATCTTCTAAACGTGTATTTTGAGAAACAAGCATTCAAAGATTTAACTTCCATGCCTAAGGCAAAAACAAACACTTGCATTGTTTATGTGTTTTAGTTTTAAGACTTTTCGATCCATTGATAATATAATAGAGAACACCTTTATAAAATATGTCCTTTTTCTCTTTTCAAATGAAGAGTATTAAAACATTACATACTTAAGTCCTTCTGGAGAACACATTTGGCAGATTAAAATGTCGTCTGCGTCTTATAACCCCAAAATTTCTGTCGCACTGACTAAAGGAGTGTCCATGTACAGGATAAATATGTGTCACTTCAACTCTGTATAGTTTTGATATACAGGAACAAAACAGTAACAAAGTCTTATTTTTTTTGCCCCCTAGCTGCATCTGATAGAAGAACAATATGCTTGGTATTAGGATAATCTGCTAATTTATTGTGAATACAGTCAAAGATGAATAAAGCAACAATACTTGCTCCCTTTTTAAATTGAGATTCTATGAAGTAATATACATATGATGATCCATCATTATTCACATGTATATTAAATATGTACATCCATAAAAGTCTTTTATAGAACTGTTTTGTTATGCTGAGCTTTGGCAATGGTAGATTTTGTGTGTAATCAAATTCCAGGACAAAAATGCCACTATCATTTGTTGCCTTTCTCAGGTAATAATTTTTTAGTTTGGCATATGCCACAAGTCTCTTTTTATGAAGATTGTAATCAACACAGCATTCATCATTCCGGTTCTTTTCTAGTTTGATTTCACACTCGCGACAATAATCACATGTGTCAGTCCTCTGTTTTTTGAACATAAAATTTGTTTCTCTGAAAAACTTGAAATAGGTTTTGTATTTCATGGTAAGAGTATTCTCAGTAGTGTCTTTAAGCAACTTGTGAAACTGCTCAAAAATGTTCTTATTCGTTAGGTCTAGGTTGTCGAAGGACAATCTATTTGTTTTTCCAAGTGTGTACTGATGTGATTTTTGTGGAATAGATTTTAAATGTTCTAAAGCCATAGAATAAATGTCATCTGAAATTTTTCTTTGGTTTGCATGTTTTCCATGTTTTTCATCAAGTGGAGTTTTCTCAATAATTTTTTTCTATAATATTCTTACACACTTCACTCCTACTTGATATAAGTCAACAAAAAAGGAATGGCACACCGGCACATTATAACCAGAAGGTTTAAGCTTGTATTTCCAGTGATACTGTCTGCTATTTTTGGGATTTTCTATCTTTCTATACCTTTCTGGAGGCTCCCCTAATGCCATACAACCTGCTAGAAGAGTGTCTTGTTCTTTTTTTGAACCGTTATCATAAAGAGTCAAATAAACGCTTTTGATCTTGCGAAGTTATCGGCCAGCATCTTGCCAGATCTGAACCCAATAGATGTTTGGGATATGCTTGGTAGAAATATTAGAGGTCGCGAAGTTGCACCGGCCTCAATTAACGAACTTTGCTTGGCTCTAGAAGAGGAATGGCAAAATATCCAGCAAGATGATATTCGCAACCTCATAGACAGCATCAGCCGACATGTAAAGTGGGAGCTGGGGGGAGGCAATACAAAGTATTAAGTTATTTTTTAGTAGTTTTTGTTTGTATTGCTACTAGGTAGTGTTAGATTTTTTATGTTTGTTATTATACATTGTTCATTAAAACCAAGATCATGTCGTTGCTTTTAATCATTATTTAAATACAGTGCTTCTGGGATGTCGATATGACATTCCTTCTATATCAGTCATCAAAGTCCCCATCGTCGTATTATAAATTAATACAAAAGATAATGGTAATAATAGGAAAAGTCGTAAATTGTGGGTGGCAAAGTCATTTAGCTTCTAAAAATGAACCAATCCATATTTTCACATGAAACGAAAAACATAATACTTAAAAGACATGGTTGCGACTGAAAAACAAGGTTTGACGAAAATCAGCTAACGGAATTTTTCCGCAGGATGTTTCAAAGTTAGGATAAAAAACTATCTTTAGATTAAGCCCGTATAATAAGTCAAATACAAAATTTCATTAAAAAAATCACTATACAAAATTAAAATTTATAAATTTTTACACAATGTGTTAAAAAAAATCATCAAAATAGGGCTAAAAATAAAAAAATGTTGCGTTTTTTTGCATCTGAGTGTATATAAAAATGTAATCATTGTGAGCAATTTAAAACGAATGTCTTTTTATATCCTAGCACACTTTTGTAGTCGGATAGTGGTTGATTTTTATATCTTTTTTGGGGGTGAAAGACGTCCTGTCAATTATACTTATTTTCAAGAAAATGAGATGATTTAGAGGTGACTTACATCATGTATTTTTTGTTTCAGGGAAGAAGCAAGGGATATGTTTTATCACGCATACAATGCTTATATGTATAACGCATATCCAGCTGATGAATTGATGCCCCTAAGTTGTGCTGGACGCTACAGGGGGATATCTCCAAACAGGGGAGACATTGATGATTCATTAGGAAAGTAAGTACAAAGTTTATGTTAGTTAATTTTTAGAAATTTAATTAATAAGACAATGTTTAAAATATGCATTGTATACCCTAAATTAACATTATAAACAAAAAAGAATGAATGACTATGTTTTAGCAGCTGGTGTTTGTTGTAGAAATTGTTTCTTTTTGACATTTCGTCTACAATTGCTATCAACAAATCCTCACAGATACTTCGTCTAAGGACTAGCAACCTCCAGTGAAGTCTTACGTTGCCATGTAATTTATTCCTAGTGTAACTTAAACACCACAGTTTATAATTAAAAAAAATGTAACTCAAAGTTAATCTAACAATATTTAAAGGGTTTTTACCCATATATTTAATGGCTTCAAACATGTACATCCAGATAGCACTGATGATGGAATAGTCATTAAGAAAACGTTCTGTGATGTAGCCTGATAGGTTTTTTATTATTATACCTTTTATAAAGGAATTAAAGCCTTTTATAAAGGAATTTAAATAAAACTGTTGTGATACATTGCACACAGTCAATGTATATACATTATATACAGTGGTGAGTGCCATATCACCCGGCTTTTTAACGTAAGAGATAGAAAACACAGTTACCTTGTGAAATAAAAGGAGATGAAACTCGTAGAGGTGGGAAATAATCGATAGAAACCTATAATTTACATTACATTACATTACGACTATCGATAGTCTCACACCTTTAGACGTTACCTTCGATCTAAATCACCTCGGTCATAATTATTATGTTTGACAGTTTGACGTCGTATGTGTGACGTATTTCCATTTTTTAATTTAGATAAAGTAAAAACTGATTGACCACAATAAAGCAAAAATGTGAATAAAATAATTTAATTAATAGTGATTACTTATTCTAAAGTTTTAAATTATTAACCAAGAATAATTTCTACTATGATTTGAGGAGTTTCATACACTCTTGTCACAGAATAATTAGCAATCCTTCGTGGATTAGTGGTAAGAATTCGACTCTGCGACGCAGATGATTAGAGTTCAAAACCTACATGAGGTTTTCTTTTTCTTTTTTAATAATTTGAAATTATGCAGAGATCGTTTTGCTTTGAATCACTAAACATTTATGTCAGTCGTTACTAGTATTTGAAGTGTTTAAAGTTAAACATAAATATCTTATTGAAAAAATAGTGTCGTCGTACTTTCGAAACTAAAGTAAAATTCTTCAAAATTAAAAGAATGTTTAAATAAGTAAAAATTTTACAAAAATAAAAAAATATTGTAAATAAACGTATCTACAATATGTTCAAATAAACCTTCATTAGCAGCAGAATAATAACCCAAACTGTCACTAAAGAATTATAAAAGTCTGATAGATCAGGGCTCAAGGCACGATGTACTCATGCAGGCGGTTAGGGTTCAAATCCTACACAAAGTTTTTACTTTTTTAAAAATTTGAAATTATGCAGATATTATATCGTTTTGCTTTAAATCATAAAACATTTATTTCAGTCTTTATTAGAAGTGTTTATAGTAAAACATGAAAATCTTATTGAGAAAACAATGTACTTTCGAAAATAAAGTAAAAATTCTTCAAACATAAAAGAACGTTCTAAATAAATGTACTTACAAAAAATGTTTAAATAAGCAGAAATTCTATAAAAATATTCTAAATAAACGTATTTTATTCTAATGAAATGTATTTACAAAAAATGTTCAAATAAGCCTCCATTAGCAGCAGAACAATAACCCAATCTATTATAAAAGTTTCGTCTAACATTAGTTAATGTTTCTGGACTAATACCTCTCATTGAATCAAAGATCTTTTCTCTTAATTCTTGGAGAGAATTAGGCCTATCGTCTTCAATTCCATATAGTTTGGACTTGATATATCCCCACATAAAAAAATCACAAGGTGCAAGATCAGGTGATCTTGCAGGCCAAAAAATATCTCCGTGTCCACTAATCAATCGATTAGGAAAAGTCGCACTGAGATATTCACTGACGATGCGAGAATTATGTGCAGGACAACCATCGTGTTGAAACCATATGGAATCGAAAGGAATTGGTAAATTACGAAGGGCTGGGACAATTTGATTTTGCAGAAGTTCCAAGTATTTCCGCCCAGTCAACATACCGTCTATAAAAAATGGACCAATGACATGATTCCCTATTATGCCTCCCCAAACATTTACTTTTTGAGGACGCTGGGTACGAGCAACATAAATCTGACGAGGATTTCCTCGGGACCAATACCGAGCATTCATTGAATTGTGACGGCCATGCAATGAAAACGTACATTCATCGGTGAACAAGACGTTCTCTAAAAAATGTTCATCTTGATGTGACATTTCCATTGCAGTTTGACAAAATTCTAAACGTCTATATTGATCCCCAGGGAATTGTTCGTTGGATTTATGAAGTTTATAGGGTCGGTATCCATGTCTTTTCAAAATTTTACCAACTCTAAATCTTGAAATTCCATATTGTTCTCCGAGACGAGATGTTGATTGGGTAGGATTTTGCTCAATACTTGCACAAATCAAAGTGTCTCTTAGTTCCAAATCTGGATTTACCTCCCTTCGCCTACGAACTCCTCTTGGAGCGAACACGGATCCATAAGTAAAAAAATTACGTATAATAGATTGAATTGTTGATCGTGATGGAGCCGGCCTATTTGGAAACATATTTACAAATTGTTGTCTAATCATGTTGTCTGAGAATCCATTCACATGCCAGACAACAATTTGCACTTTTTCCTCGACCGTTAAAACCATTTTCACGAATTGTTTTTTCAATAAAAAGTTTCTGTTTACCGTGCAAAAACACTTCTCGATATGTTATTATTTGATGGCTTAAAGGCTTCGCTTCGCGCGCATCCATTCCAATGTTGTCAATTGTTTTGAAAATCATTATCTGTACAGAGGAATTGATATTAACATTGAGAATTTAGTGATGGATTTGATATAAACAGTCTTCACCGGATTATTTTGCATTCACAACTGAAGACTGTATGAATTGAATTTGAATCATTTTGTATTTCCGTTTTATAACATTGGAATAAAAATAAATTGTAAATAATGAGTTTTTCGAAAATTTGTTACCTAATATGTATCATATTTTCTATTATTTTTTTATTGATAAAACAAAAATTTTATCCTTGGTGTGGAATTGAACCCCAATTTTCTCGTCAATAGACAACGTCCCTAACCACTACACCAATTTCACATACATTAAATGTTTTCAGACAAAACATACCTACCTTTATTTTAGTCAAATATTTCAGTTGAGTTATTTTTACTATTAAATAAATTTAAAGATTTATAATTTAAAATCGCTACTAATGAATGTTTTTTACTATAATATATCTTAATTTATTCAAGTATTTATTCTAACATCAGAAATTATTAAAATAAAATATTTTTGAGGTTATCCGTATAATTATGACTGAAGTCAAATAGCCACGTCTAACGTCTAAAGGTGTGAGACTGTCGATGGTGGTAATGCAATGTAATGTAAATTATAGGTTTCTATCGATTATTTCCCACCTCTACGAGTTTTATCTCTTTTTATTTCACAAGGTAACTGTGTTTTCTATCTCTTACGTTAAAAAGCCGGATGGTAAAGCACTCATCACTGTATATTACTTATATACATTATAAACAGTCAATACAACTACAGGAATTTAGTTTCCTTGTGTATTCATGATATGATTTTATCATACTGTTATGTCTTTATTAATTCTAATTTATTGTTTTTATTTATTTTCAAAGGTTCTATTTATAACACTTACAAATTTATTAAAGTCTATATACAATATGATACTAATTTATTTTCACACTATAATTATTTAATTTAGTTATATGACAATATATATTCCCGACAAAAACTCGACTCGAAATTCAAAAACTAACTAACTGTCTTCCATAAAATTTCGTCTTTATATAAAGCACCGTTAATCAAGAATCTCGTCGAAGGATGTCGACCTTCCTGACCCTTGTCGAAAAGACTGGAAGGTCACGTCATACTGGTATTTTTAGCTGAGGGGGACCCGTTTGGAAGGAATCCCACAACAGACCGGTTCTTTAAGAAGGGCGGCGAACTCACTAGAACAAAATATAATTAGAAAGAATATGTTTACAGTTATGAGTCATAATATTTATCGTAACAATACCGTTGAATTGGGCTAAAACGAATATCTGAGGCACTACATAAGAATATCATCTATTCTTAATGTGTCTATCATATTTTTCACGTCGATTTAGGAAATGAAAAAAAATGTCTGTAAAATGGATCCCCAAATATCTGAAAGTTTACCAAAAGCCTGCAAAGGTAGCAGCATCGAGCTTAATCTGTGGTTTTAAAAAGATGCAAACTTCTTAAACCGTGTTGTTAATGTTGATAACACTTTCTACTTCCCAGAAGCAAAGCAGCAGTCGATTAAACAGAGACACTTTGGTGCCACAAGGCTTAAGTTCTTGCTTCAGTTTTTTGGGATCGCCAAGGGATTATTTTCTGGTCCAAAGTGAAACAACATCTGCGAATTTTTATTCGATATTATTGACCACTTTCTACGAGAAAAAATGTGGAGAGAAGACGCTTAAAGTTATCCAAAGGTATAAGTTGTTTTTGTAGGATAATGTCTCTGCACACAAATCGCTTGTTGTCTTGCAAATAATTCGTTATTTCGGGTTCGAATTAGTTATTCGAATACCCACCATATTCACCAGATTTGGCTCTGCGCGACTATCATGTCTATTCTCAAATGAACAAGAATTTAAAAGGTCATAAATTTCCTTGTACTGAAGAGATGATAGAAGCTATGTTGTATAATTTGCACAACAGAATAAAAAAATCTTGAAAGGTCTGTTGCAGGTTCGTTATGATAAATGTATCAATTAAAGAGGACAATATGTTAAATAATAAAATTACTTTGATATTCCCAACTTCAACCTTTTATCTGACTCAGTTGCCATTTAGATTGGATTTTTAAAATGCCAAAATTATCGTTTTACGTACTTCTAAATATTTCTTTT